ACAGGCGAGAGATCAAAACAAAACAACGGTCACTAATTAGAAGCACAAAACGAGGATTTGTAAAGAAGAATGTCGGAGGATTTCGATATAAGCCAAGAGGAGACTGGTTCTCCTTTGCTGAAGTAAGGAAACTTTGCTTCCTTTGCTCCTGTAGACAAACGTTGGTTTTCACGAGACACACCGGCGCATGCGCCGCGCTGAACTCATACGTCATGCTCCCGGAGCTGCTTCTGTGTACAACAGTGAACACAAGCTACATTGAAGTTATTATTACGTTTTCAATATGGATATTTTTCTTCCAAAAACGCTTCGATTCGCTACAGGAGGCCTTTGTTCACCCCCCGGAGCCGTGTGAGACACTTTTTTTTATGGATGGGCGCTTTTTATTTAACTTCTTTTGGACTGATGCATGCAACACCCGCTGAGTGCCATTAAACAGCTTGAAAGATCAAAGACCATATTTAATATAACTCCGACTGGATTCGTCTGAAAGAAGAAATTCATATACACCTGGGATGCTTCGAGGGTGAGTAAAACGCAGCCTAATTTTCATTTCAGGGTGAACTAACCCTTTAAGGACTTTCATGCAACCGGGCCCTGAGCCTCAGCGTACGTTCGATTTGGTCGTGTTTGTTTGCTGCATTGATTCCCTGGAGTCTCGTTACAGTCGCTGTAAAGCTCCACTGACTTTCATAAGGTTCATTACCCTACAAATCAGCTGATAACAAGTTTTACTTTAACCGCCATTGTCACTTTACACAAACGCTTATTATAGTGTATCATTTTCTGCACTTTGCCTTTTTCTTGCATGTGGTTTTCAGCTGCACAGCGTGAGTGTGTGTGTGTGTGTGTGTGTAAGATGAGGTTAAAAAAAAGTCAGAAATATTGAGTGTCTCTGTGAGACGAGCAGTAAAACTGAAACACCGTCAGACCCAGTGTTAGGAGTGTAACACATCACAAGTAACGCAAGTTATGTAATCAGATTACTTTTTTCAAGTAACTAATAATGTAACATTACTTTTCAATTTACAACAACAATATCAGAGTTACTTTTTATAATTAAGTAATACTAGTTACTTTGTTTTCCCATGTATTGGCTGACAGCTCCCCTGTCCTTCAGACTGAGGCTTATTCATTTCATTTTTGGTGTGAAAGGGGCTTTAAAGTTGCCCAAAATATGACTTTGGGGTTTTTTTCTTAATTAAACAACACAAAAGCAAGCCCAGCCCGGGTGAAAAGTAACGCAAAAGTAATGCATTACATTCCATAAAAAGTAACTAAGTAACACAATATTGTAATACATGACTTTTAAAAGTAACTTTCCTCAACACTGGTCAGAGCAGCCAATATAATTAATAAAATGTTATACAGAGAGTTGTCCAATGTGTGACATAGAGGGGAACATCCAGAAATGTCCAATCTTCTTCTAAAGCACCTTTAACAGCTCATGGTTGACTCAAAGTGCTGAACGATACACGTCAAGTCAAACACAATCAAAAGACGTCAGATGTCAGTGCTGTCGTCATTCAAACCCGTATGACTTTGAAGTGTTTAGCAGGATGTTCATGCCGCTCTTTATCATACAGTAAAGACAGATAGAGATCAGAGCGTCACGCTCCAGAAACACTTTAAAGCGCCTGTGACAGTCATTCAAGCGTTTTATGTGCTTCAATCAAAGTCTTCTGGAGTCATATGATTATGTTTATTCACTGATCATGTTTTCAGTAAATCTTAACTGCATTTACATTCATTTAAAACACAAACGTCAAGCATGTTTCACCTGGTTGACATTTACTTTTTCTTAAATATTTTCATAGACAAACACTTTAATGTTGCTGTTTTCAGCCCCTGTTGAACATTCTGCTAAACGTCTCTTTATGTGTTCACAGAAGTAAAGTCATAAGGGTTTAAAAGGACATCAACAGAATTGTATCTTTTTCCCCTGAACTCTTTAATGACATTTACATTTATGCATTTATGCTTTTATCCAGAGCGTCTAAAAACTGAGGCTAAGCTGAGATTAAACGCAGGGTTAGAGTTTGCATTAGTGTAGTATTAGTAGGGTTGCAAAAAGGTGGAAAATTTCCAGTAAATTTCAGAAATATTCCAGAAATTTTGGAAAACTTTCCAGGATTTTTTGGAATATTCCAGGGATTTTTGGAAAGTTTCCGGAAATTTTCCACCCATTTGCAACCCTAAGTATTAGTGCTAAAGATTAAATTTAGCATCTTTTCCAATAAAGCAATGTGTGTTTTACAGTAAAGACTGTGTCCGTCTCTCTTCAGGTGAAATATAAATGGCTTTGACAGCGTTTGTTAGCATGGAGCCGTGTGCGAACGCATCCCATGTGAGCGGTGACGGGCCGTCGGAGAAGCAGGCGTGTGGCGCCGCCCTGCAGGTTCATCTGTACAGCTGCAGAGACGAGGCAAGCGTGCTGACGTATCCGCACGGAGAATACGTGGCAGAAGAGCTCTGCATCAGCGCCGCCAAAGAGTGCGGTGAGTCCTGATCCATTAAAGCAAGTACTACTGATTAAAGGGACAGTTCTCCAAAAAATGAAAATCACCCCATGATTTACTCACCCTCAAGCCATCCTAGCTGTATATGACTTTCTTCTTACAGACGAATCCAATCGGAGTTATATTAGAAAATGTCCTGCTCTACCAAGCTTTATAATGGCAGTGAATGGGTGTTGAGATTTTGAAGCCCAATAAAGTGCATCCATCCATCATAAAAAGTGCCTCGCACGGCTCCGGTGGGTGAATAAATGCCTCCCGTTGCGAATCAATGCGTTTGTGTAAGAAACATCTCCATATTTAAAACTTTATAAACAGTAATCTCTAGCTTCTGCTTACTGTCGAACACACGTTCACGAGAGAGTGGCGTTCCAGCGGATGACGTAAGACGTTTTTCTTACACAAACGCATTGATTCGCTACAGGAGACCTTTATTCACCCCCCCGGGTTTATTGGACTTCTATTGGACTATTGATTATTGCCACCCATTCACTGCCATTTTAAAGCTTGGAAGAGCCAGGACATTTATTTATATAACTCCGATTGGATTCGTCTTTTCATATTCATATTCATTTTTGGGTGAACTATCCTTTTAACAGAATTCACATGTCTATACTTTGTGTGTGTGTGTGTGGGGGGGGGACGGACTTCATGCCAGATTATTTATGTCATTATATAATTGCTCATCAAAAAAAAAAATTTCAGAGTATGCAGACATTAGCAATCATATTTTATCTCTTCATAAAATATGTTCTAGGTAATTATGTGTAACTGCTGGTATTTTCAGAAAAGCGGATCGCATTCCTCGCATCACCTGCAGTGCGTTTGCAGCAGACGGACACCAGGGCCGTTCTGTGTGTGTTTAGTAGTGAAATCAGAGCGAGGCGTCTCCTCATGAGAGGTTAACGGTTAGTAACCGTGGGTTAAGGTGCGTCACATCAGCCAGATTTAGCAGTCAGAAAAGCTCCAGCGTCTGCTGTCAGTAGTGTAGAGACGAAGCGCCGCTGAAACACAAGTCACTATCAAAACAAGCAGCTTTCTGTTGGTCAGTGTGGCAAATTTGTGTGACCAACTTGAACCTGTTGCGAAATCTGCATGAGGAAACCTTTCGGCCCCATCAGGGGCGGATCTAGAAAGTAATTTTTAGGGTGGTGTGAGGACTGTGAGGGGTGGCAACACCAAAGCAAACAAGCATTCAATCATCTGCGTAATCTATAGTATATCTGTAACGGGGCTGACGAGACATGAGACGTGTGGATCCATCTGCAAGCTTTTAATAGAGAGACGTGGAAAAACAGGCAGGGTCAAACAATGGCAAACAGGTATATGGCGGGCAAAACACAAGAATAGTCCTAGGGCTAGCGTAGGTAACCGATCGGCAGACAGAATCACAGGGGCGAGACGAGAGGGAAAAAACCAGGAAAACAGGCAAAGATCAAAAACCGCAAAAACAGGCAAGGCAAGGCAAAACAAGGAAAACACGGAGACTCGGAAAGGGGTACAGGCTAAACAATACTCAGCAGAGAAATGTGGTTAGAGTGGGTGTAGAGCGACGCAGTCCGTGTCAGAATGATATCATAATTCACTGAGATGATATTTGATAAGCGCAGCGGTGATAAATGACGTCACGACAGTGACCTGAGTCTTGCTGTGGCTAGAGTGTTGCTGTAGGCTGGTAAACTTCCTGTTCCCACTTTTACCACTTCCTGTTTACCCATCTGAGTGTAAAGGGGTTAAGTGTGTGTGTGTGTGTGTGTGAGTGAGTGAGTGAGTTGAGTGAGTGAGTGTGTGTGTGTGTGTGTGTGAGTGTGAGTGTGAGTGTGAGTGTGTGTGTGTGA